TTCCCAGAGTCACTTGAAACATATTAACATAAGCGATAGTACTGTCATATAACGTGAAAAGCTAAGTTGCTTATCAGTATATTTTGATAAGCTACTTAAATTTTACAGTAGCATTTGCTGGCTTCAAACAAATGTTAAGGATGGAGTGCTGTTCATTTTATCTGTCACGTATATTACCTCTCACTTCATTTATTACTACAAGCTGTACAGTTAGTAACCATGGGGGCCCTGATTTCTTTACAGTTGGCAGGATGTAGTCATATTGTGGAAAGACTTTAAATCTTGTCCAGCTATATCAAAAATGTACTCCATTTGCTTCACAAGGCATCTGCGATTAACAGAGTAATCACTTTATGCTTCGTACTTCTAGCTTGCCTGTTCACTATAGTTTAGGGGAAACTCCTTGCAGAGGTTTAAAATATGAATACAGCCAAAGACCCCTGCCATGCAAGCATGGTACAGAATCCCAGCAAAGCTTCCTAGAGCACAGACTAGTGCTTTACTGTCTGTCCTTGTTTACGTGCAGTGGGAACTTCCCTAGAAGGCACAGAAGTACTACATAGCCATACAGTGTGAAAAAGCAGATACGTAATTTCAGCATGTTCACACCTTACAAGGTTGACTGACTGTTGCTGATTATTGTAAAGAACTGATATGGCATAAATTAGACAAATGTGCATTATGGTAAAAACTATACTTGGTCTAGTATACATGCTGAATAAATGGAATTTTATAGATGCTGGGTAAGATGGTATACCCCTCATTCTGGTGATTCTTTTTAAAGAAATATTTTTAAAGAATGTGCAAATAATTGTATGGTAATAAAAAAGTAAAGGCAGGATCCAATTCCAGAACAACCACGTCTTTTTACAGATTGATAGGGCCCAAATAGCTGCTCTGAAGGTCGGTAATTAAGCATGTACTATGGGAAAACTTTGTATAATTAAAGAAATGTCTAGCAATATGTGAACTTATAAACAATTCCGTAATGTTTCCACTGATTGCACAGGCAGTTATGGCTTCCGTATGATCACCCAGGTGCTCTATGAACAGTGAAATAAGTTTGGAAACAGTAGCCTGTGTTCTTATGAATTTCCACCATTGACTCCTCTGATTCTTAGACCTAGTGCTGCCTTGTATGATGGTGCTCTGCTGCTGGCCAGAAGCTCCAGGGATGATTATCAGAAGCTGTGCTTTTAGAGGAAGGGGACCTAGCCACTGATACATGCTGCGGTGCCATGGCCTACTCTTCCTGGCCAAACCCCACATCAAGAGACAACCAGCATGCCTTCCTGCCAGCCATTTATCCAAGTGTCAGCTTGATGGTGTGGCGTGTTGTTAGCAGTGCATTTACTGTGTAGAGCAAAACTTGCCAATCTAAATATTATGATGATGTTTTCAAGCAACTTACATTTTTCCTTTTTTTTCCTTTTTGTTTTTTAGTTATCTCCCATGGTTTGAAGTCTTTTATAAGCTGCTCAGCATCTTGGCAGATTATACAGCAAAAGGACAGGTATGAGATGACACTTTATTGCTTGGTTTTCTTTATACAGTCTGTGGGCTCTCATTTTCCAAACATATCAAGTAGGGTGAATGCTAACCAGTTAGGCAGTACTCTCATAAGAGAATACCCAGTTGAACTGTCAATTTCTACTATGTAATCCCATAGAAAGGGCTTTTATTAGCTAATTTGCTGTTCTCTTGAAAAGGGCTTGGAGAAATGCAAATGAATTGTAGGTTAATTTTGGTATCCAAGAGTAATTGGAGAGCCAAGTACAGATGAGTTAGGTAAGTACCATGAAAGCTCCTCCAGCATCTTGTTAATATACCTTACTTATGACCACTACATCTCTGCAGTTCTGGTATTGGGCCTCTTGGAAGAGAGACTAACTGTGCTTCGATGAGTGTTGGACGGATGTTTTCTCCAAGCTTATAAATGTGGTAACCCAATACAGATTTTTAAATCAGGCCCACTAGGGCAAAAGACCATTTTCTTGTTGCTCATTTTATCTGACTATTGTGGAGCTCATAAGGTATTTTTAGACTTAAAATTGTGGGGTAGGGTAGAATTTAAATATGCGATCTGATATTTCATTTAAAATATGAACTGAAAATATTAAGGGTCAGTTCTAGGATTATAAATGAAAATTGGTGTTGCACAGAGATGTTGCACATGGTAAAAAATTTTAGGCATGTGTATTGTGTTTAGTTCTGATATGATAGCAGATCCTAACAATTCTGCAGCAGCCTGATTGTTATGTTACTGCTTTGATTCCTTTACCATTTCCCCAATCGTACTCCTATTTTGCATTTTAACACATTTGTACCAGTTTGAAGAGGGAGCGCTTGTCTTTTTATAATGTCTTCTGCTGAAATCAAATAGATTCTGTTATGAAATAGTTGCTGTGGAAGCTGGACCTCCCTGGGATGAGATCATATGTAATGCATAGGGTGGTGCCCTGAGAGATTTCTTGGAAGGTTTAAAAAATGTGGGAAGATGTTTTTTGTTTTTAAAAGCTGCATTTTATATTGCCAGGGTATTTGCATAGAAAATGGTGTCATTTCCTTTGAGCCTACAGTATAAATCCTTTTGGCATCTTTTCCTGACATTTGCGAGTGATCTAGCCCCAAAGCGCCCATATACTTACATCCCATTGTCTGGTATGAGATGACCGTTTATGGCTTGGTGTTCCTTATTAAGCAAGAACTTTTTTATTTCAGGACAGTCAGAGGAATGAACTCCTAGAAACACTCCATAAACTACCTATACCTGACCCAGGAACACCTGTTGATCTCAGTGTGGTAAGTGAGGCAAAATAGCAGCAAATTAAGGAGATACAATATTGCATAATGAAAATGCAAGAGAAAACCATCAAAATAATGTTTTATTCTTTTTGAGGCTTGCAGCATATGTATCATTTTCTCTCAGGGGCGGGGGTCCTGCATTTCCCCATTCCTGTTAGAGCCCTAAAGAGCCTCTCCACTTACCCCATAGTTAACTCTGAAGAGAGTCCCTATCCTTTGATCTGCAGAGCCCTGGGTGGGATTCTGTATGGACGTTTGTGAGCATTGCCCCAGTCAGCTACAGGGGTCACTGCTGAGCAGCACAACATTCCTCTTACTGGACAGATCAGCACTTTTGGACTAGGGGGAACCGGCACTGATTGGCTCACATCATCCTGCGTGTGTGGGATGAAGACCAGAGGCTACAGAACTGTCGGATGCGTAAAGCAAGCTGGAGCTGCTTGTTGAGCTGGCCCCCAACCTGCAGTGCAAGGACATGACTGAGAAGCGTTTGGCAGTTGCTGTATGGAAGCTGGGGACTCCTGATTGCTGCCGGTCAATTGCAGATCAGTTTGGAGTGGGGAAGTCTGCCATTGGAGCTGTACTGCTGCAAGTGTGCAGGGCAATGAATCCTATTCTGTAACTCTGGGAAATGTGAGAGACATACTGGCTGGCTTAGGGATGTTAAGGACTAGTCGACTATCCGATAAGCCAATGCTTATTGGATAGTTCACTAGTCTCCTTCTCCCCCGCCTCTATCAAATAGAGGCAGCAAAGGGAGGGGAAGGGGGCTACTTTAAAGTGGCAGTACCGCATGGAGCCCAGGGTCAGCTGTGCAGCGCTGCCTCTTTGAAATGCTGCCACGGCATTTCAAAGGGGCAGCACCGCCCCATCGACTAATCAACTGATCAACTATTCGATCAGTCAGTTACACGATACTTCACACCCTTCGGCTGGCTTTGTGGACATGGGATTTCCCAACTCTGGGGGCCCATATAGGGCGCGCACATTCCCATTTTAGCACCAGCCCACCTTGCCACCAAGCACATCCCCAGGCAGGGATGCTTTTTGAGGGTGCTGTAGGTGCTTGTGGATCAATGCGGCTATTTCACAGACATCCACATGGAGTGGTCCGGAAAGGTGCATGACGCACGCATCTTCAGGAACAGGGGCCTGTACAGAAAGTGGCAGGTGGGGAATTTCTTTGCAGACCAAAAGATGACAGTGCGAGATGTGGAACTGCCCATAGTGATCCTGCGAGAGACAGCTTACCTCTTGAAACATTGGCTCTTGAAACCATATATGTGGTACCTAGACAACAGTAGCAAGTGTTTTAACAGCTGGCTGAGCAGGTGCCGCATGGTGGCTGAATGTCCTTTTGGGAGACTGAAGGCGAGATGGAGGTGACTCTGTCAGGCTAGACCTCACTGAGGACAATATGCCCAGAGGTATCAAAGTTTGTTGCACTTCGCTAATTTGTGTGACATGAAGGGGGAGTTGTGTGCTCCAGGGTGGAGCACTGAGCCATACAGCTTGGCTGCACAGTTTGAGCAGCCAGATATTAGAGCTGTTAGAGGACCTTGAGCTGCTCTTCCTATCGGGGCCTTTCAGGGTGCCCTTTGAAAATGCGGGTCACTGACTAAAGCGGTGTTGAAGTTGGTTCCAGGCAGCACTGCCAGCCTCTCCCCGGGAACACATAGCTGGGAACATGCCTTTAAAGCCTGCACCTGGGATCACAGTGACTGGTCTGTGTAAACGGTAAATATGAGTGTAGAACCATTATATCTGTGTGCCTTTAGTCATGAGAACCTCGCACACTGACATGCACTCAGGTACCCCCAAGAGCTGGGAGGGGAGTTGCTGGCAAAGGGTTACAACTCACCACAGTGCGCCGTTCCAGGGATCGTAATCAAAGCTAGGAGAGGGGGGTGAATCTGCTCCCGGGAGGGGGGGCAAACCCATGTTGGCTCAGGCTACGTCTAACCTACACCCCTCTGTCGGCAGAGAGATGTACATTAGGTGTTTTTGAAAGTGCAAATGAATGGGGATTTAAATATCCCACGCTTCATTTACATAATCGCGATATGGTGCTGTTTTGAAAAGGCGCTATTTTGAAACTGAAACCGTGGTTTAGATGCGTTTTTTTTCAACAACGGGGGTCCTGAGGAGTACAGGATCTTTTGAAAAAGTGCCCCGCTGTTGAAAAACTGCGGTTTCAGTTTCAAAATGGTGCCTGCTCGAAATAGCGCCATGACGCGATTATGCAAATGAAGTGCACGATACTTAAATCCCCCTTTCATTTGCACTTTCGAAATGTCTAATTTACATCCCTCTGCCAACAGGGGATGTAGTTTAGACACAGCCTCACTGTGCTGCTTCACTAAGCACTTGAGGATCTCAGTCTGTTTTTCTATCATCTAGAATGATTGTGCATTCTGTGGATGGCCTGGTTGTCCTTTCGGTTCCTCAGCACCCTCTCTGAACGTTGTTCTCTGTCTGCACTCGCTCGCTGACTGGGTTAGCACTTTGCGAACAAATCCTCCCTGTTTTTTCTAGGGTGCTTCCTTCTCTGTTGCACCCTCTCTGATGTGGAACGTGGCAGGGCTGTCAGAGTCTCGGCTGTTCAGCACAGTGCCAAAAAGGAGCCTGTTTATAGTCCTGTTTATGCCGTGATTCTCCATTGGCAAGTAACATCCCGACAGGCCTATCTGTTCGGGGTAAGCAAGGAAACCCGGGCACAGCTTCTCCATGCTTGTAGCTTTTGTCCTGCTCCATATTCTGCTTTGGTGCCTGCACAAGGGATTGATGAATGGTGCAGACTAGTGTCCTTCAGTAGGGGAGGGACAAAGCTGCGCTGCCATGGAACCCGAGGCAGAAAACGTACAAGTATCTTGGAGAAGTTTTGCTAGCCTCTCTGTGCAGGATTCTACCGCGGGCGTCAACGTCCTGCTTGGCTATATCAATTAGTTACGCGGATATACGCGCAGCTCACGGAAACACAACCAGCTTCCCACTTTTCCATGTCCTAAGCCCTGCGCTCCCCAAGCCACAGCAACCTCCCTGTGTCTCATCCCCCACCTCCTGGGCTGCAGAAAGCAGTTGCTCAGCCTGGGTCCTGGCTGCCGGACACAGTTGGCAACCCTGTGGGGAGCCCCTCGCCCTGTGCATTGCTTCTGGTGCCCCTTGCAGCAGAAGTGGGGTTCGCACCGAGGATAGCTTCCAGCTCCTTAGAGAGGTGGCAGGTCTTCGGTGACGCACCGGAGTGTTAATTTTTTTTTAACAGGCCTTACGGTAGGCTTGTCTGAATTCTTTAATCTTTGCACTGCGGCATGTTCCACTCGTACTCCTTTTCACGCAAGGATTGAGGAATGTGCCTAGTATGTGTCCCAGCTGTGAGTGACCCATAGTACGTGGGACGGAGCAGATTTCTCTCCCCATACACTGATGAGACCCAACAGCTCTGTGGCGGTCCAAGCAGGGGAACAGTTGGTGCAGTGGCTGGGGAGGACTCTATGAGACCACTGCATGCGGGATAGGGGAGGTTCAGGTGCTCAGGTAGCAGGAAATGGGATTTACATTTTGTGAGGCTTGCAAAGGGAGCAGGGTGGGTAGCTGGTTACCTGGCTGCAGGGCACAGAGGCAGTACCCAGGACCAGGGGCTCCCCATGCTATCACATGTTTGGTGGCAGCGCAGGGAGAGGAAAAGACAAACGTCCCTCACTGAGCTGGAAGTTTTTGTTAATGAAAGTGGCCGTTTTTCGCAACAGAAGTTGAGTTGCGGTATGAGCGCTTATGCAGTTTTGTCGTCAAAGCCTGGCAGAGCAATACTCTAAGCACTAACCCTTTGATGCATGTCATTTTGGTGGTTTTCCCTCCCTCACGCCTCAATCAATAGCTATTCCTTCTCACGCTTGCATCAAGGCTGTTGTATTCTGTGACAGTCTTAAGTCAAAAATCAGTGGAAGAGCTTACGTTTGGGTTGGTTGGGCTTTAAGGGAAACATTTCTCTTTGTTCTCTTCCACTTGATGTTTGCAGATCAACCTTGTTTTCTGGGCAGTAATTGCTAAATCTGAAAGCGCCAGTGAAAAATCCTTGAATGCATGTTGCTTTGTGAGCTGTGTAGGCTTTGAGTTCACATCTAGAGCTACTGATGTAGCGCTACATCTCTGCTTTTCTGTCTCCCTTATTCATTTCCCTTTTCCCCTCCTTTTATAACTATCTGCTGACTACAAACAGCTTACTCTCATCACTTCACCCTGTAATGTCAGTCGACAGGTAGCAGTTGTTTGGCCTAGCTAGGTCACCAGCTGGCAGTGGAGATGACCCAGTCCTATCAAGGAAAGCTATTGTATGAACAGCATGTCTGCCTGACCTAGAGGACAAGCTGTCTCAGAGGCAGGATGATCTGTTGGGATATTTCAGTTGTTTCATACCAGTGGTTTCAAGGAATGCTGTTGCTCTCCCTTTGCCTCAAACATTTCATGAGCATTGGAGCAGGAAAGAATATCAAAGGACAGCTTAGGGACTACTTTTGTTTTAGGCTCTTTAAGCATTTTAGTTTAGCTGTTTACAAGCTGATGGATCTGTAAGAGCTCGTGGACTTTTTTCCTGTTTATTGTGTACCCTCCATATTCCATTTCCTCTTTTGTTCCTTTTCAACCAGATTAAAATAGTGAGGCATGGAGAAGCTAAAGTCCACATTGCATACTTGTTTTATCTGTGGGCAATTGTAGCTGTTTCAACAGCTAGATACTTCAGACTACAAAGCATGGAACTGATAACCACTGTAAGGAACAGAATTGTATGGCTTGTGGAAACATTCAAGAGCACAATAGCTCCCCAAAAAACTTTAATACAAAATAATGTGCTAGTCTTATAACAAACTATAAAGTTCCAAACAAAATACAATATACACAAATATTAACTTACACACAAAAATATTGTGTGTCCCTGCCCACCCTCAGCTCCCAAAACAAGAATAACAAAAATGTCTTGCATTATCACAATGGTTAATAAAATGAAAAGAGTTTCCTGGAGTGTAAAGGGATTAAATCGCTCCATTAAGCAATTCACAAATTGCAGTGGTGTGAAGCATCATGAAACTGGGAAACCAACATACAAATTTGACAGCTTTTCAAATACAGTAGCTGCAAATAAAAATGTGTACACAAAACAGTTTTCCAGTTGTATTATTCAAATATCTTTATCTTCCTTAACATGCCGAGAATTAAGTAAACTTGACTATAAAACAGGATTGCAAATTGTGGGTTTTGGTATTTGAAAGACATGAAGGAAACGCAGACGATGCATGTACTTCATGAGGATTTCAGTTGAAGTTAAAGTATACACGTGGCTTAGCAGTACTGGAGTCTTGAACATTAATGTAGAACCCTTCCAGAGGTAATCCATATGATACCTGGAGCCTATGCCTTTCTCCTAAACCTGAAAGCCTATTCTTGTGTGTTAATTATTCTGAATACTACTCAAATAGAACCATGGTTGTGAAAGTTAATGAATATCTTATGACCAGTCGTTTAAATATGATAATCATAGACTGACTCATTAAAAGAGGATTTCCATCAGATAAATTTAAAAAAAACAGTGCTGGGGTATGACAACCATAAAGAAAAATCTGCATGTATTTGGAAACCTTGATCGGATTACATATAAGACAGATCTAGGCACCAACAGAAGCATAACTACTTACGCCTGCTTAGAAAAAACTATTTCAGAATACTGTTTATCTTGTAAACTCTGCATTGAATCTCACGCTCATTTGTGACGTGGCCTTCAGTATATGGGAACATTAGCAATGCTGTAACACACAAACTTCCCCTTACTTTTTATACTTATTGCAGCCCACCTCTTACTTTGTGGGTTGATTTGAAAAATGTTGGTAATGCGGAATGGATTCCCATTTGTCACGATACACCAAATCATACTGGAACCATTAATTGCATCTGACAGAGATAATTTGTTCAGCTTTGTTTCTTTGTGCTGCACAATCATTTAATTGTTGAACGTGTTTTTTTAACATTTTAAAAGTCCCATTGATGTTTTATTGCAGTGGCTAAATGCTATAGTTGGATAATACTAATTAATTTCATTGTTCATAATCTGTACAATCAATTGTGTCAGTCGTGTAGTCACTGAAACTTACTGCATTTTTACAGTCAGAGCTTGTCTATATTGTATGTTTTCAAGTTTGGGAATTGCATTATGTGTTTGAGGGGTTCTTCCATAGAGCAGTCTTTGCACTGCAACTCTCCAGCTCTGTGTTTGTTTTTTGGGATCGTTTTTTTGCTATAACCAATAAATGGATGTTTATCTGCTCATTATGCATGTCTTAACTGTGACCAGCTGGACTTGAAGCAACAGCATCTGCTATGGACGAAATTTGCCATATGCAAACTTGGTAGTTTGCCTGTCTGGTGTGGTAGATCAGGGCATCCAAAGGGGATACTTGGCAGGTTAGAGCATTTTTGGTGCAGTTTTCTGACACCATCTCCTGAGAATGTTCCAAACCATATAGCAAATGTACATTGTGCAAGACTGATTCATGTTTCTCTTAGCCATAGGATTCAAGAGAGAATGTGCAGAGGAATTGTTAATAAATTATATATCTTTAAATTGGAAGAAAATTCTATTCCCAAAACTTCTGTTTGCTTTTTTAAATGGTGGCACTTTTTAAATTTCACAGTATACTGTTCTCTAGAGAACCCTTCATTTATTCAGCCAGGTGATATAACTTCAGAGTTTCAGTCATTCTCTAGCAACCACCAGGAACACTCTTAAGGTACTACCGGAGAGTCCTAGAATATAGAAAAGGAGATTTGTCAAGGAGATCAAGAGCAGCTTTTGTTACTGCATCACAACTCTTTGTGTTTCCTACAGAGAGATCCGGGAGGGTAATTAAGAGGGTCCCCTAGTTTAAGACACAGGATAAATTACCAGTCAGTTTGCTTTTCTGAAAGTAGAGATCTTTTTTAGACAGAGCTCCATCTCTTTTGTTGCCTGAACAATGGAACATATTAATATTGTACTAACTTAAGCCAAAAAGGAGATGGCTGTTGTATGTCCTGTATTCAGACATGGATCTTGCAGTAGGATGAGGAAAGATGGTCTGAACTGCATACAAAAAGCTTTGGCGGTGTTCTGGCATAGATCATAAAGAGTGTGAGGCTGTTTGTTAATACATCCGAAGTACAAGAATTACATGTAATGTATCCTTTACAGATATTTGATACTTTGTGATTCAATCTTTGTTCGAGTGGCTTTTTTTCAAGTTTGAGAAAAGAATCTAAATTTTGAAATCAATGGCAAAGTGATCTCATTGGTAACTGATAACAAAAGTTATGTCAGTTTCCTTAGCTGGGCTTTGTTTATTTAATCCTTTGCAACTATGGCTAAATACTTTATTGATTCAGAGCAGTATTTTGGATGTCTTTTCATGATGCAAAAATGTTTTTGTTTTTCTTTCCAGCATTCTTTCTTTACCGTGCCTGACATCACAGAGCTTCCTAGTATTCCTGAGAATGTGAGTAGTAGAGAGGTTCATACTTTATACTGTTTGTTTTCCTTTTAATTGGAAGAACAGCAAGACAAGTAACTATGCTCACTTAGAGCTAGTATTTAGAGCTGTTACATGATATTTTGTGAACTTGTACTAGATATTGAAACTCTTCCACGGTTTATTTTCTCAAACATTAAATATTACTATATGAAATCATGTTACAGCATGGCTTCTGCTAAATTGCTTCTGCAGGATTAAACAATGACACAATAAATTAGCTTTCCCCCATAATTACTGTAAATTAACCCCATAAAACTACTCTCCAGTATTCTCTCTAGAGCAAATGATTTACAGTGTCAGATGATCAGATTAAAATGTCTATTTAATTAAGAAAAAATATCAAGTGAATGGGAAGTTGTGACAGAATAATGGTCTCTTGATTAAAAAAGCCAAATCAAGATGTTTATTTTCAGAGATGTAGACATTAATCATTAATGTTCCCTAAAAATAAGGATATTTTAAAATAAAATAGCTCACCAGGAAAATGGCATATTTTACAATAGCTGTGCCATACGCATGCATGGATGGTACAGATAAGAAGTTTCATCTACTTCAATTTTACCTAAACAGGCAAAATAGAAAGGGACATTGTCAAGAAACTTTTAGTTTGAGACATTAAAACTGTGTACATTCCTGTCTTACAAGTTTCAAAAAAAAATTTTTTTTAAGAAAATGTACAGTTTCACTATGAACAAGTAATAATACAGTCCTGACTTTTGTCATTTCCTACCCATTTGCCCCCAAATTAAAGTTTTGTGCTCCCTCTGCTGGTTTCCCATCTGCAGTTAATATACCTGGATTCCATAGCTATGCTGCTGCTGTCATTGATGCTTCAGATTCAGAAAGCAGAGCAAAAGTATAACTTGACTAACTTCTTTTTCGTTGGACAGAGTTTCTGCTTTAAAATTAACCTTATCAGAAAGATTGAAAACTAAACTGCACTGAAGCTGTTCTTAACGTTTTCTGAAGTTTTTCATAGTGCTGTTTACTGTTTTGAGCCAAGACTGTTATTGGTGGATTTAAATATCTTTAGTTGAAGACCATAATATTTAAAATGCAAAAACAGCTAGAGCTTCAGAAAGGTGAAGTACAGTTGTTTTGTATTAAACCTGCTTGGATCTTTCAAGATACCACCTTTGGTATTTTCACACATTTTCTATCCTGCCCCACCCACATATACTTAATGCCTTCACAAATTTGGTGTCTGAATTCTGGCTAAGCACTGGAAAAATTCCAGTTTTCTTGACTTCTCTGCAGTTTGGGGATACATTGGCAGGAGGCATTAAGGCTAGCATTCTCTTTTGTGAAGGCCGCATACTTCTTCTCTGTCGTACCTACACAGCTGCAGGGAAATGATGAAGAATTCGATCTAGTATCTAGGTGCAGATTATTAAGGATGATGGTCCTGTAAGCAAATTGGAATGGAGGAACATTGCAGGACCTGTTCAGCAGACCATTGGGGCTGTCTTAAGTGATCACACAAGGGACCAGTAAAGATCAGCTGTGTACCAGGTAGCTTTCTCAAGACAGCTGAGCAGAACTTCACTGTGTTTTGGAGTCATTTCTTCAAAGATATACTTTAACCCCCCTGAGTACAGTGCTTTGTACAGTTTCAGATGTGTCTTCAGAGGAGAGGTCTGAAAGTGCCAAACCAAGAGAGAACCTAACTGACATTTGTTGGCCTTGACTATTCTTTAGACCTCCACATTGTGAGCCTTTTCCAAACCTGCCTGCCTGACATCTCAAAGTCTTGCAGCTAGATCAAGAGCAAAAACTTCTGAGGTCAGATGCTGCACCAAAACGAAGTCCCATTTGTGTTTTTAAAAATAAAGAACTCGGCCATATCTTCCAATTACTTACTAGTAGTATGTTGCTTGGTGAGCTTGTACAGCCTTTGTTTTTACCATTGGACATATACATAGTTGCTGGCTTTACTGGAGATAGTTCCATTACCATTAACTTTAATACACATGCTTTATTTTTTGTGTGACATTGCTTTTCATAGAACTTTGCAACATTAGAAGTACAGTAAAACTCCAATAGTCCGGCATCCAGTAGTCTGGCACTCCTGATAGTTCAGCATCAAAATGGCAAGAGCCTAGTGAGTGAGCTTCGGCAAAAAATGAGTCACAAGGTAACAGCGGCAGCAGCTGAATTGAGCAAAAAGGGTAAAAAAAGGCTTAAAAAAACTAAAACATTACAGTATACTGTATATAGTATGTACAATAAAAAGGGTTAAGAACACTTTATATATAGTATATAATGTATACAGTATATATATATACACAACCAGCTTATAGTACCTCCTGATAGTCCGACATATCTGATAATCCGGCACCACAGGTTCCGGATTATCGGAAGTCTACTGTAATACAGGACTCCTGTCCTGAAGCTAAATCAGCGGCTAGTCTACTTTGAAGGATTAGGGTATATTTTACTAAGTAGTGGCGGTGATAATGTTTCATGAAAATCTGTGTTCTTTCATCTGATGATCTCTAAGCACTTTACAGTGAAGTCACCCAAAGAGGTTGGGAAGTGTTATTCCCATTTTACAGATGGGTATGTTGAATCTCAAAGAAATTGAATTGAGAGTGATCGTATTTTAAACGGATCACTAGCTGAGATTAAAATAGGATGCAGGGTTTTTAGCTGGTTGTCCTCTCCTTTAACTAATAAATGATTCTAATAACAATAGTACAGCGTGGGTGATGGGAGCATTAATGGAGGGATCATCAGCATTTTGATAGGAAATACAGAGGGCAAACATGGGAATAAAATGGAAACAACAGCTGATGTGATGAAGCTGGTCCAATACATTTTAATGCAAAATTGTCAGTATAGGTCTCAGTGTAAGGAAAAGAATAAAACAAATGTTGAAAATGAAACTCACTGGTTTAAGGTTTTCGTTAAAGTTAATTCTCTGCTACCTCTCCGGTTTCTACTTAATAAAAGCAGTGCTTTTCTTTTTCTAATGAATATCATTGTGTAATTGCTCACTAGGGTTTTATCTGTCTATCAAGGTAACTTTCATGTAAGATTGTGGTTTAGATAGACAACTATATAAAGGCATTAAATGAACATAAATCTTTATAGATTTTAAACAATTGACCTGCATTTTTAAATATGCCACATCATGGCAGTAATTGCATTTTTAAACCTCTATTAACAAATGTTTAGAAGCACTAGATTTAAGTTGTGTGTAATGATTAATGGAGAACCACATAGAGCTCCATTTGGAACATTAACAAATATGTCGTAATTATCTGGCTTTGTGTCAGACCAGAATGGTTAATGATCCACAAAAGCATTTAGTATGGACAGTTATATATAACAACTGAGATTTCACTATTTCAAAAGATTTCCTAGGATATGTGAAAGATTTATGAATACATTGTGACTTTCAGAAATAAACAAATTGAGTTAATTACAGGAAATACATTACTAAGTAGTGTTAGATATACAGTATCCATTGTATCTCAGATTTGGTAAGTAATTTAGCTGTTTCAGAGATTATTGGAGTTTCTGTTTGGTGCTACAATTTTTTTTCATTTTATGTCATATCCTCAAACTGCATGATTCTTTCACTTTCTAAAATGTATGTATGTGATTTAAGTTCTTTATTTCCATGAGTTTATTCACACTAGTAGTTTTATAGTCTAATATTTAGACTATTTTAAACAGAATACTCACTCTTCTGTTTTCCAAAAGGTACATCATACTGTGATAAGCAACTGATGGATCTTTGAAAAACAACTTTTAAATATGTGGGGTTTGGAAGAAAATGTACTTCTAAATAAAGCTAGTTTATTCCAAAAGGAACATTTACAGAAACTTATTAAATGAAGTTTAGACCTAGAGCTGAGTGACTAGCTATGATAATTTGAGAGGATTTGTTTTTCAGTGATGCATACACATTTTTAATGGCAGCCTAGCATGTGTAGAAGTCATGGCCCACTTACTACACATGTGACTCTAGTTGTTGTTCCTTTGCACAGAAGGAGGAGAGGGTATGCTCCGTTATAATCCCAGTGAGAGGTTGTCTTTGGGATGATGTCAGAGGAAGGGGAAGCAGGAGTGATATATCTTTTGTGAAGACCAGGACTTAACAAGGTTCAAAAAAGAACTACATGAATTCATGGAGGTTAGGTCCATCAATACTTATTAGCTAGAATGGGCAGTAATGGTGTCCTGAGCCTCTGTTTGTCAGGGGCTGGAAATAGATAACAGGAGAAGGATCACTTGATGATTCCCTCCCTCTGGGGTATCTGGTATTGGCCGCTGTCAGCAGACAAGATACCGGGCTGGATGGACCTTTGGTCGGACCCAGTCTGGCCGTTCTTATGTTTTGGCCAGAATAAAATCTATAAAGTGCATAATAAAAAAGAGTAATTGTTGAGTGAATTTAGGTGAGACTGTGAGAGGAGCATGAGGGAAGTAGGCTTCCAGATCTCATTGATTTTAATAGGATCTGGGTATCCGATTCCCTTAAGTTCTTTGAGAAATCTCAGCTTTAATGTCCAAGGAGGATTTCAAATGGTGAGAAACCAAATCTATAACAACTGTACTGACTGTTGTGTATTGGATTGTCATAGTGATAGATCTTGTTGTAGTAACTGAGTTAGGTCATTAGGGGTTAGCCCAGCTGGTTTTGGCTGATTCTAGCTATTCTGTGCTATGGAATAAAATGGAAAACTTGCAACTGCTGCAGCTCTGTGTTTCAAGCGTTTTCTTCCTAAACGCTGTAACTCCAAACGATATAACACTGTATTGAGAAAAACGACCCTAGTTTTGTGTGGCTTGGTTCCTACTCACTTGCCGTTTAGCTGTATAGCCACCTATTTTCAACATGTCACAATTTTCTCCTTAGACATGTCATATTTTTTATAAATAAACTAGAAGATTAACCTGGTGTTGCTGGGGTCCTTAACTCATTAATTTTTGTTTTTCTTCATTTAAATCGTTGC